GCGGCGGCGGCGGCGGCTGCTGCTGCTGCTGTTTTGTGGGACTCAGGTGTTTCTTCATGGCTCCTCTTCTCCCAAAACTAATGTTAGATTACCGCGGGCTGCAGACTCGTGAGCGTCGGCCGATTCATCAACTGCATTTTACCTTTGCACGTGAGTCGTGCGCGCGCTTGTCTTCTTGTCTACAAGGTGTCTGATGAGGCGGGAGCTCTACGGTCCCCCCCCCCTCCCAACCCAACCCACCACCCATCAGCGTCAAGTCTCAGGGAGTTTTACAATGTAGTTCCGGTCCAAACTTTCAAAGTAAAACAGACAGTTTGATAGGTAGGTTGGTAGAAAATAAGTAGGCCTAAATAGTAATTAGGTATTTAGAAAATAGGTAGGCATAAGTATGTTGGTTGGTTGGTAGGTAGGTAGAGAGTTGGATAGGTAGTGTCCGATAAACCATAAATAAAATCAGTCAATCAAAATAGGTAGACAGGTGACCTTTCTTACTACACAAGGATGTAGAATGAAATTTAGATATAGTTCCCTCTTTATGCTACTTTTAAAAAACTAAATAAAATGGAGATAAGATGTCTGTCTGTCTGGTGAATATATTTATAGAGAAAATTTAAAAACACAATAGGGAGTGGCAAACTATTCCACAGTTTTAATTGAATTAAGTGCACAAACACAATAAGAAGTAAGGGTACTCGTGGATAAAAATCAGAAGAGCTGGTACTAAGTACTAAAGTTCATTTGCTTATATGATTTCAAACCATCATCTACAAAAGCATATGAGGAAAATGTAACAGGGCCCAATACGGAACCTGGCGGTACTCTGCAGTAGATATGCAAAGGAAGGACACATCCTTTCAAATTTAGGCTGTTCTGTCTTGGAGTTGTCGAAAAATTTGACTGGCCCACACAACATCAGTGTTGGACATGTTCTTGTGTCTGAATGGGAGCAAATCCCTGCAGCCAGGTTCCCCAAATCTGTCCTGAAACCAGAAGAGTGGAGGCGAGCAATAGATTAAGTAGTAGTAATTAATAATAACGGTTTTGGATGTAAACAGTCACATGAGTGTAATGTTCAGGAGTCCACATACTTTTGAAAGTAAGGACATCTGATCAGAGAGTTTAAAAGCTGTTATGTGTAACTTGTGATCCAACAGAACTCTCTCAACATAATAGTTATAAGGGGAAAAATTAAAATGATTATTATTAGCCTACTTGCTGTGGGCAAATGATCAATTTACCTCAAATATTCCAATTTCAGCAGCCATTATGTTTTGCGTTCCAATAATAGTCAGTTCTTCTTTATTGCCCATTTGGGAAAAGAATTGACTGTAGCTGGAGTTACAGTGCTTTTATTTTAAAGTCAACTTCCGGTATGATTCTGTCTGTTTGTGGCTCACTTGACGCAGCTTCCTCTCGCCAGTCGCCACCACTATCTCCAGCAGACACACCCCATCGGCCGGCAGACACTCAGGAGACGGGAGCTGGACCGGAGGAGCTGGACCGGAGGAGCCCGGTAGTGACACACACCAACAGGAGAGGGTAGCGTGCTGCCTTCAAGTGCTGCTCGTAAGATCCTAAAAGTAGTCCCACCGCCTATTTTGGCTGGGTTGCGTAACATATCATAAGTACCCATAAGTCCCTGCTTTCCATTTCTTTATTTTGTGAAGATACAATTCATGGTTTCTCTATGCTGGAGCTACAACAAGTGGTCAGCAGAAGTTACAGTTTAAACACCCAGATTTTGACCATCATTGTCATAAAAAGTTCAGATGACTTTATTTATGAACTAATTTATCTATTTAGGCTATCTATTGGTGAGCTGGCACGAAGACATCAAGAGGAAATAAACTAAAATAGGGTGTTATTGGTGGGATATATCTGAGATACAGGTGATGTACATGGTACATAGAGATATGCATGGATGTGTGAGGAGGAAAGTGAGAGCTGTGCTGTGCTAAACAGCAAAAACATAAGAGAAAAAATAAGCAGCAGCACTAACAACTTAATAGGCTACCTTATAATTATAATAATAATAATAATAATAATAATAATAATAATATTGCTCAGATAAAAGAATAGTAGATATTTTTTATTGTTTGTTCTACTGCTAATTTCTTGCCATTTCCAAGCCTCTTAATAACCAAATCTGACACATCCTCATAGATGTATTGACCCTGTCCACCTCTAGATGTCAGCACAAGCCATTAGTAGGCACTTTATGGTGGTGATGTTATTGTACACTGACATGGAAATACTATTTTTAGCCCTTGTTAATGTATGTGTCACATTGATGCTGAAAACAGCTGAAATGTATGCGATTTCAAAATGTGGCTTTCAGATCAGACTGATATCTGATAGAAATAATATCAATACATGGTTTCACAACTCATAGTTTATTTTTCATCACAGTTATGAGCTACACATTCTATGCTGCTTCCTGCAGGGCAAACAGTAGAGCTGTGCTGTTGCAGTGAGTAACATGTTACTGAGAGCTACAACAGTGTGATGGTGCTCAACCAACCTGCATAGCACTTACTGTAATACTTACAGCCACAAGGTGGAGCCACATTTCTAACAAACCACCACACCGGTACCTCAATTAACCACATGCAACTGTAGTTTTAGGAGGCACAGTGAGGGTTAAATTAAGCAGACAAAATTATAACAATGCACACAGTGAACAATTAGTTATAAATGATCATACTGAGTTTATATTTAACTACTCATACAACAGAGTGCTCCACTCCACTGTAACCTCCCATTTGAGAGGTTTATAAAGTAGGTTAATGAGTCATAACAATTCAGGTGCATTCAGTCATGTTCAGCAAGTGGCCCGCAAAAGATTGATCTCATCCCGTAAAAATGATTTGAGAAATGACTGTTTGCTGACCACTGCTGATGAAAGGGTTTTCATTGTATTCACTCTCACTATTATTCTCCACATAGTTAATTTTACTGCTTCCACTTTTGAGAAAATGTGTCAACTGTTGTCAAGCGTTAGCCTTCGTTTTACACAACTGCACAATTGTGTCTGGGTTATCAACTAGACAAATAAATATACTTGTTATAGAATAAATGCAGTCCGATCGTGGGTTAACCCATCAAGCTTTATGTTTCTAAATAATCTGAGGGAGTTCTCTCCTCACAGATCCTGGACTGGGTCGGTTGAGCAGTTGTTGCCCCGTAAAGCCCACTGAGATATTTTGTGATACCGGGCTGATACAATAGATTTGGTTTGACTTGACTTGACTCGGATGCTCTTGACCCACTTCACTTAAAGCCCCATGCCAGTCATCATTTTTGTGTTTCCATGGCAATGTAAGGAGATGCAGTGCAATACCATGGCAACAACAGATCTTGTGGAACAAAATTTGAGCTCCCTGTTGTGCACACACCTGTGTGTACACCTGTGTGTATGTGTCCATTGTAATAGAGGCCTGCACTCAACATTTCTGATAGGTGAATGAATGGAACATGACACTGATTCAGTTTTGCACAAAAGATGATTTCATCTCAAGGTACATGTACAGAAAACAGTAGCAGAAGTTCATTATTCCATTTATTTATATTTCAATACATCAGCTGACCCATTGCTGAACCCCTCTCTCCTGCACAGCAACATACAGATGTTGTATACATGGGGTTGTAGCGTTGGTGTAAAGTTTGGAGTTTGGTGTCTTTTTTTTCTTTTAGTGATTCCAAACCTAAAAACAAAAGAAAAAAAGTATAAGAAATTGATTTAAGTGTGTAATTATCTGCTCTAACGTAAGCTGCAGTTGTTTGCATGCCTTGCTTCATACTTAAACCCAGCGTTACTTGCAAGGTCAATTTACGGAACCCCCTGGTTTACAAATCTCGCCCACGGTTTTGTGCACTCTGGGCTGGTAGCCAGCAGCAGTACGATTAAAATACTTATTATATTACTTCCCCAACATCATGTGTGAACAATATACAAATGATACCACACATGGTATAATATAGTGCCAGTTTATTTTTTGTTGCGGATTTAGATTTTTGCACACTATTTCAATATATTGCAGTGAATGATAAATTACACGGATAAACAGAATTTGGCCAAGTTTACACTCCAGCCAGCTCATTTATTAATCCTCACCCATTTGAGAATTTAAAGAGATGCTCATCAGATGCCAAACTGGATTATGTTAACATAAGGACAGTCTGATCTTACAGTTTTCCTGCAATAACAATGCAGTCTTTTCCCTGAGATGTGTAGCTTTAGCTTCAGTCATCAGTCGCAATATAATTTATGTAGCTTTTAAGGGCACATTAAAGGCAATTTTTTACGATATTCTCTATTTAAGTTAGCTGGAAATATTAAAAAGTCAGCAGAAGATCCCAACTCATGAAGCTAAAATTAGCTTCATTAGCTAGCTAGCTATAGCTGATCAATCTGAAATCAATCAAACCATTGTTTCAAAAGTTACTAAGAATTTAGTATGTAAATTATCTAGCATTATCGCTGTAAGCTGCATATGAGCGGAGAAAGAATGGAAGGCTTGCAACTAAGGATTCAAGGATATTCACAACAAGGTTGTAACATTTTGATCTAGTTCCCTTTATGCTACATCAGAAATGAAACACGTCAAGTTAATTCTAATTCTATGTGGTATAGCCAGCACTTTTAGCATATTGTAATTAGTAAATAGTTGCACCAGTCATTAAATGCAGTCGTTTTAATTATTTTCCATTCTATTTTCTTTTTAGTAGGTGTGATGTTTTACATTACAATCTACCCAATGAGCTCTTTTTATTATTCCCCATTCAAAAAACAAGAATGGAAAGCAGCAGGCATTGCAGCAATAATGTAACATAAAAATGCAGAATAGATAAATTATGGAGGGGTTGGGCAATACGGGCCACCAATCGCCCCATCTGGTTGAGTGGAGTCAAGACTTAATATTGATTTAGTACCATTTTTATTGACAGTTTCCCTTCCTCATTCTGCATCATGATGCTGCACGGCCAGTTAATTGGACGACCACCACCTGAGTCCGTCTGCAAATCAGCTATCAGTGACAGGCAGTGGAGTTACACTGCACGCTCAAATCTGATTTGAAATGACCCTGTTCTGACAAATATCTGATATTAGCTTTTATCTTAATATGAAAAACCCGCATGGAGTCTGTGAGTGGCTGCTGAGAGCAATAACCTCTTCCTAATCAGGGTATCTGGGATGTTCCCCCAGAAAACTGCCCCACATGAAAATTTGTAGATTTGAAAAAACTGATATGCATTGATGAGAATCACTGGCGTTTTGCAAGGGCTGACAGAAAATATGACGTATTAGACTCTTCTTAATGCTAATTTATAATTTGGATTTGAGGGCCATGCATGATTTTCTTTAATATTGGTGGATTGGATGGTAGGGAGACATTTGAAACCTGGTTTTCCCTCAAAGCAGCTCTGATTGGGGAAAGGTTTTGTTTGCATTTTCATCAGCTACACATACTGGCAGGGCAAACTGAATGTGGGCCCAGTATCAACATGTGAATAGATATGCATATTCATTTTAATGTGGGGTATTCCTTTCCTCCAGCACATCCAGTGGGCAGAAACATTAGCATTTCATGTCATTCTCAATCCAGAGGCTTTAGTCTTCCTCAAAACCTGCGTGGGTGGAACGTGCAGTAATGGTTTTTCCTTTCTCAATCGTTACGACCAAGTATCCCCCCGATGAAATTACTCTCATCACTGTCCAAGAAAACATCAGTAGAAGTCCACATTAGCCACAGGTCAACAGGTTCTGGTAGTTTCCAGGTTTGTTTTCAGGGTCATGAAAATATTCAACCTTTTCTAGACTCAGGGAAAGCTAGTCATTAAAATATAAAGCAGTTATTTTTCTTCGTACAAGATCTCTACCCAACAGCAACCTTTTGCTGAATTATCCAGATGGTCTCTGCATGTGCTGTACTCTATCATTTAAAGCTGCCTCTCTACATGCTCTCTCTATTGTAATGCATATCTGCACGTGGTGCCTTTTAGCCCTGAGCTCTTTTCATACCAGAATCAGTGCGTCTCAATCAATCTGAGCTCCTTTTATTCACAGTGACCACCGCTCGGTCCAGCTTCAGCCAGAAGCTTTTGTAGCCAGTCAGTAGAAGGTTATTTGTCTTGTGTCAGAGGATATATAACAATGGAAGTGTCTATAGGAGGGGGAAAACAAGGATTGTGAAGTGTGATTGATATAACCATCTGCCTGACTGGCCACCTTGATTAAACTTCAGGAGAGGAGTGTAATCTGAATGCTGATGCCTTGGGGTAGCGCAAAGATCACCAAAGAATTTAAAGTATGGGTATGATGATAATAATAAAACCACTATGTGAAAGGTACAGTATTATTTGTGAATTGACTTGGCAGCTTTCCAGTTTGCATATACATTTATTTATGCATTGAATCTGTGTGTAAACGTGCCTTTCTGGTCTGTTGTTTGGACTGTAGTGGTGAAGCTGGCCTTGCTGACCACTCCTTGCCTCTTCTGGGTGGTCACTCGCATTAATCTCGCAGTTGAGAGATGAGGTCTTGACCTCGGGTGTTTTTCTTTCAGGGGAGGTCGTTTTCGGTCCGGGCACTGCGCTCGTTCCTGATGTGACTTGTAAATGCAGAGCTTTGCT